TACAATTATTACCACAGGAAGAACCAGGAAATGAAAATGGATTATTTTGCATAAACTGAAACTTCAATGAACCAGCCTTGTTATCTCTCCAGAAACATTGTTCACGCGCGAGAGCGTGTGTGTGGTGGTGGTGGGAGGACGGATGACATTGGTGTTGAAAGTCCTGTTTGCTTTGAGCATGTTTATTTGTTTATTTCAGGGGTTCACGTTCTTGTTCGTCTCAGTTTCCACATGTACTTTCCAGCACTTAGCACATATACTTAAACTCTTTTTCTTCCACAGGAAATAAAAAYTTACTATCGTATRACCCCATCTGGCACAGYCTTATACAGCACTGCGAAGAAAAAAAGTGCATCGTTAGTAAAGCGTGGCCTTAGTATTTGTAACTATATATAAWGAATACCAACAGTCAATTCCACCAGGAAACAAATAACCATTACTAAGCATCATTTTATGCTATTTTTTATTCTTTATTTTTATCTTTTTAATTTCACAAATCATGCTTTTATCAAATCACTTATGAAATAAGTGGGGGGAAACACCGCGCTTATTCGCTGGCTTCCATCTATTTTTCATTTATAACACTTTTTCTTAACGCCGATGGAGAGGCGAAAGAGGACTCGATCACGTCCCTTACGATGCCTAACTCCTAAATAGTCATTATACGCCTAATATCAAAAAACAGAAACAAATTAATAAGTTTTCAAAAGATTTTATATCAATTCAATATAAACGTCTGCTTGTGTGTCCTGTACTGACATAAGACATAATATATACAATTAATTGCCTACGCTCTTGTTTCTATATAAGCTTGCTTCTCTCGTGCTCTTTTTTTTTTTTTTTTTTTTTTTTTTTTTTTGTCATGTTATGGTACAGAGACCCACGCGCCCTTTGTGTTCTTTTTATTTTTTGTATTCTTTTTAAAAGGATATTCGCGTACAAATGATGCAAAATAAATGTCGAATTTCTGAAACTTTGCCATCCTGTAAAACAACCGCGCCGACAAATTTCACCCAAAAAACAGAGGATCAAACGTGCAATCCTGCAAATAAAATGACTTGGAAGTCGATCATTTYGCTACCTATCGTGAGCTATGTGATGAGCCTTCAAGTGATAAAAACAAATAATAGTTTCGTTGAAAAAAATAAAACAAAAAGAATTAGAACGCGATGTTTTCCAGGTAATAATCTGTTTTCGAAAAGGTGCTTTTCATCAAGCATTAATACTAAGATTCTTTTTTGTTGGAAAAACAACATACATTTCGGAACAAAACTGCCCCTTTGTCGTTCTCGCTGGYCAAGATGAAGCAGAAAATGTCGCTTTTCTGTGCGATAAATGAATGTYTTTATTTTTCATTTCTTATTTTGAACGAATGCAACTCTTTACCGTCGTTTGCATTACTACGCGTCCGCCCCGGACACAAATCGCGTCTGGGGTGGCCGCGTAGAATGCAAAAGGCGGTAAGATTTGTCTGAAAACCTCTGGATGACTCGTTTCAAAAACTTTTCAAAAAATTGACATTTATCTGTCATTTGCCCGCGAATTTACTTTAAGTGACTGTCTACTATTGTTTGAACGTTCGATTTGAGACTACGAGCATACGTCTGAATTGCCACTGTAAACTTTCCGATTTTAATGAGGACCTATGCATATACACGTTTTGAACCTTAAGAGGATAAAACCCCTAAGTTTTGCGTGGGGCCTTATTAAAAAAGATATCGAATTTGGAAAGTTATTCGATAGGGGTCTGATTCTCCAGCAATTTTGATTATTTTTGTCTTTCGAAATTTTTTGCGCTTCATGCTTCCTTGTTTTTGGGGTTTTTTCTTCAAACTAGTTACTGTACCAAGCTACTTTTCGTGTAAATTTARATAATCTGCCATACCAGAAAAATACACAAAAAATGAATAATTAAAAACAGAGCAAGCTAAAGTTTTAATGTACAAAATATTTGTAATCTATTGGTTTTTATACTGTGAACGATATTATAATCATTRCTGTCATCACTTTATTGCAATCAATAAAGGGCTTTTAACTTAGCGTGGTTTATAATACAAAGATGAGAGTATGTGGTTTATAATAGTTTGGGTTYCCTTGGGATCAGAGTCTCCTCTTTCTCTCCAAAAGGAAAATACACTATATACAGGGAATCGTTTGGAAGAGGTTAACGAAGATTTAATGTTCTTTTAGTATGATTGACTCGTGGAAGATCGCGTGGTAAAACTCGAAGGAAGAGACCTTATGGGCTTTACTCACGTGGCAGCCATGTTGACTAGAATAAGAGATTTTCCCAAGCGTAGCTAGCCTCGCATTCAAGTGCTTGAGATAATAATAAATTTATGCAGGTTAAACGAAAGCTTTTATTCCCATGATAATAGACATGGCTGCCGCATGAATAAGGCCCATTCGTTATAATGCAATGTTTCCCCATTTCAGACCACGTGTCATTCGACCAAAGAATAAAATTATTTATGTTGTATCCATATTCAGGTGTCTTCTGATGCGCAACCGTTCAAAAAATGTGTATATCAAGGAAAAAATAATATTTTCAAAATCACTTRTATTTGAATTGGTAGTAGTGTGGTTGCAGTATTTTTGCAGTATGTGGAATTTTCTTTTCAGAAATATARACATTTGAAATATCAATATGCAAAGGAGATGACATAAATTCAAGAATGCTGCATTAAGACAAGATGGGATTTCAAAATTTACCACCAAAGGATCTTGGATCTTGTTCACATTTTCGTTCGTTCACTTGTTAATTTATCAACGCTGGAAATACAGTCGAGAAGCTAATAAGCACGTAGGTTTCGTTTAGATTTACTTGAATGTTGTTTTTTTTGTTTTTTTGTTTTTTTTTTGTGAAGCTATTCTTCATTGGTTTTCAATTAGTGAGGCACCTTCCTTAAGTGTGACGTCTTTCGTATAGAAAACGACTTCCGCGTCCAAAATGAAAAGCAGTTCCGTAAAGATTTGYCGCAAGATTCTTTGTCCTAAGTTTCTAATTTCTTCAGCTGAAAACTAAATCATTGATCAAATTGTTTGCTTCATTCTAGCTTTTTTTGTGAGCAGATGGACCAGGAAATACGTCAAAACTTAAAAGTTCTATTGTTCTTAAAGACATTCTGCCTATGGATGTTCATATATATACATATACATATATATTGGCTCTTTAGAAAGTGAAACATAAGCAAAGAATAAGCAAACTTCATTTTTAAAGAGGGATAGTTGCTAATCCTTGAAAATGGTCGAAAACATTACAGAACCTATTACTTCAAATCTATTGTRTCCAATCTCGGTAGATTATGACCCATTCAACACCAGCAAGTATCCTAAGCCAGCTATGCCAACATGGGTATTAACTAATATCATCAGTTTTGTCGTCGCTTTTCCAACATTTTACATCAATCTGTTGGTTATTTGGACCATACTTGAAAAAGAGAACCTCAGATCGACCAGCTATAACCTACTGCTTGCCATCCTTTCCCTGACTGATTTGCTGGTGGGACTTGTGGTACAACCACTATTTAATATTGCTCATCTTTGWGGTTTATTGAGATGTGCTTACTCTTGTGACTTGGTTGTTGTCTACTCCATTGCAGTTTTTGTTTGTGTTGGATGGTCTGTTTCCTCCTTAACGATGATCAGCGTGGAAAGATACTTATCCATAGAACATCCACTGTACTACAGGGCACAAGTCAATACCAAGAAACTGATAATAGCGACTGCAGTAATGTGGATTTTGATGCCACTGTTTCTTGCGGTGAGTAGATTTCAATCCAACTACTCTTACAAGATAARGCAAGCTCCGATAGGAGTGACTTTCGGTCTAAGCGTTATAATTATCTTCTTCTGCCTGACAAAAGTAAACCTAACAGCCCGTCGTCAGATGAGAGCCATCAACGTCCAACAAGTAGCCGTACARCAGACAACAACCAAGAACAGAATCAAGGAATACAAACGTACTTTTGCACTAGGGATTTTAGCACTAGCGTCTGTAGTCTTTTACCTTCCAACATTCATCGTCAAAATTATTGGCGTTACCAAAGGATTAGAATGGAATGAGGACTTCAAATACATATCCCAACACATCTTTTTGACATTCATTCACCTTCAGTCCCTCGTCAAYCCTCTCATCTTATCTCTTCGTCTTTCGTATATCCGTGCTGGTGTCACGAAGAAACTCCGGTGCTAGTGAAATGTGCTAGTGAAAAGACCAAACTCAAGTCACTCCAATGGGACAATGTTTTGATCAAACGAAAAACATTAGAAATGTTAACTGTGTCGGGCTGGGTGCATGCCAGGGCTGCCAAAACGCCGTAGTAGCCGTAAGGCCATTCTKAGCTTTTATTGTGCCCATTGAGATTAAATTACATAGTTAGGATCACTGTCACTAAAACATAGAACTATTTTACATCAAGAAGATACCAAGGCTATATTCAGAGAATGGACGACCGAACAAGTCACAAGACTCTCCCTCCCTCAAAACGAGACGTTGCGCCAAAAAGACCAACAAAAATAAAAAGAGCACCTCGAAAATAGCAGAGAGGCAGAGTTTCAGCTTAAAATATAAAATGGAATGTTTTATACGGATTTATATAGGGAAATGTACGCTGGCTGCCAATCTTACTACCCTTAGCTAAATAAGCGTTTCACATGCAAATTCTTATAAAATATTCGATCTCATATTTAATGTCTTTTCTCCTATAGTCCTTTGAGCGGAAACTTTGTCCTCGTACTAATAATATCAATGAGCTCTTTTAATTTCACAGCTGCTCGTTTTAAGTTAGTAGTGTATATAAATCCTTAATTTATTTTATTCCTATGAAGCCCAAAGGTGCTTATTTCACATTACTTGTGACTATAATTTATATTTTGGGGTGTTTGGGTATTTCTTTCTTCCTTTACTACTGATATTTTGATCATAAACTACAAAGAAATGTATGGAGCGATGTTCGATGTTGAGTGTATGACGTCACAGACTCCMAAAAATAATCGTAAAAATATCATACTTTCGTMCTGAATATCGAGAAAACACTTCATACAGTGATTATTGGACCTTTAAAGAGTATTCTTAGGAAGTTTCAGCTGAATCCAAGTTATAGCGATTTTCGTCGTAGTAGCACTTTAATAAACTATAGTACAGTGTCACATAAAGCTACAGCAAATAGCCTTTAAAAAAAGAGGTAATTTGTATGATCTTCAATGCATYGCAAATTCTGTAAGGAAAATATATTTTTGGTTTTTTTCGTAAGGCAAAGCCGTCGCGTTTCCGTTTACAAAAATTAAGGAAAAAAGAAAGGTTAAATTGTTATGAGTACCTTACTGTGTAAAATTAATTTTGTTTAAAGGAAGGACGAAAGAATGATTTTCTAATTCTATGACCAACCTAAATAGAAAAAGTGTCACCAATACATACCCGATTATAAAAAAACCTTCTTAGTTAATGAAACTAACACTATCTTTTCATATTTCGAATGATTTTAAATTTCCGATTTCTAAACATTGTACTTGGTTCAACARTCGATTTCGACCTTTTTGTTATTCATTTCCAAAAATATCACAATTTCCAAACAAGGTCTTCGATATTAAGCACGTTCATGGGCAAAAGATCCCATCGTCAGATTTTTTTAAAATTTTCCATGTAGTGGAAAGTACATCATACTAGAAATAAAATAAGCAAATAAAAGATGGGGGTCCCTGAATTCGTTTAGCCGTCAGAATATGTGGAAGTCGCCCTTTTTACGGTAAAAACGTAAACATGGAAAGATGTCAAAAATATGTCATATTTTATTGAAAAATAAATTTATCGACCCCATTTTTCACAGAAGTCTAGATAATAACCAAATAACTAGGTAACTCTTRAAATTTGTTTTAAAAACTAGAAATATAAAATGTTAATGTGCTACGAGTGTGGACTTAGAACCTTCACGTTATGTGAAATTCTATTCCAATTATGAGTAAAATATGTATTTCGATTTGATCCCATTGTGAGATTTTTTWAAATTTTTCCTTTAAAGTTAGGTATTACCAAGTACTTTCAAAAAACGAAATAAAAAAGGGGGGTCCCCAACTTTGCTTTAGAGCTATAAGAKATTTTTAAAAAACGTTCTTATGATATTTTTCTTATTAAAACATTGGAATGACGTCATCACGATGAGCGCACGCTTGCTAAATGCATGCGCAGAAAAGATGTAGTTACTCTATGTTTGCTTCAACCGGGTTTATTTTTACAAATTCATATTGAATAARAGAAGGTATTATTTGAGCCAATCARAAAYGATCAGATTTTACTTCTGAAATGCAAGAAGATGCTAAGGGAGAGTTGCCTATGAAAACCAGTCAAACGTTTCTGAAAGTTAAATGCGGTGATATCATAAAAACAAAAGCCATTAACTTATCTTAGTTTTCCGTAGCTTATGGATTTTGGTACGAAACTTTTGGAAACTATTTTTGAAATATTTTGACACAGGGATAGAAAAAATATAAACATCTTTGACGCCCGCACCCATCTTCATCCTAGTTGTYCAAAGAAGCGTACTCCATATTTATATCCAAATTTCGAGCTGTTATGTATGGATCATCTATTTCACACATTTCCTGTGGTGCATGTAACGTCATAGTCGCAATGTTGGTTGGCGATAACAAAGCATTTAGTAATACTAAATTTTTTATAGGATTTTTCAGTTGTGCGAACTCAGTGGGGATCGAATAGGGTTCAAGGTGATAACTATGAAATCCAAAGCAATTTAAGCAGATTCAGCGGTAAAAAAATAGAAATAAAATAAATAAATACTAAAAAGAAAGAAAGAAAGAAAGAAAGACAGAAAAAGGAGGAGGTAAGGCCATACACTGAGTTAGTTTTATTAATTGTTATTCCATAACCTACTTTATGAAAACATTCTTAGATCATGAGCTGTGGGACAGATTATGGGMTAATTGCTTTTCAATTTGAAATCTTCAAAATACGGCAAATACCGACATATATGGTAAGAGGAAGTAGTTTATGGAATCTGCCAAAACAACTCGCTCATCATCAGACGCCTCCCTTATTGCTCGGTCCTATTTTGAAAACTTGCTATTTTCGTACTTTTGATGACCGCTCGAAAAAAAATAGAAAGAAGCATCAGAATCAAAAAATGTTTTTGACATGATTCTTAGATGGCTTACATTTTGATATAAAAACGTTAAAAAATAAAGGTCATAAGCACTCGAAACCGGCAAAGCTTGTTCTAGAAGGTGATCGGGAACAATTATTTTAACAACCTACTCAGCTTGATTTCTCACTAGATAACAAATATATAAAAAAACATTACAGCCTGACTTGGGAAAATAGTGGCTCTATTATTATTATTATTATTATTATTTTATCATTATTATTACTATTTTTCATTTTCCCGTTAGTAATAGCCAGTCTCTATTATTCCCGGCCTAATCAATCGAAAGTTCGATTCCATCGAATCCAATCGAATCCAATCGAACATTTAACTACGTTCGATTGTAATTTGGGATCGATTCAGGGGTCAATCGAATTTCGTTCAGTTGTACATTCGAATTCACAATTTTTTWAGCATTCGATTTCGTTCGATTGTCGAATGCTATCGAACCCAATCGTGTGATTGCGTTCGATTGAATTCGAAATATTGATTACGCCGGGGATGATAGAGGTTTTTTATTATCCAAATTTCCATGGTGGTATATTAAAAATTACTTGAACAAAAACACAATTAAAATTATCTTCAGTCTTTGTTCAAAGAAGAATAGATATATAATTTGTCTTATTTCGTTTAGAACTCAAAATATAAACAACTGATGTTTGGGGTATAAATGGACAACGTTCTGGAGATTCGTTCACTTTGTCTTCGTTGATGCTTACAGAGTAAAATATAAATCTTAAACCGACGCCTTCCAAAAATGAAGCCATCAAGACTCTCTTCTTCACTTTTTCTATTGTCTATTTTGTTCTACTGGTTCCCACCTTCAATCCAGTTGCTTGCTCGTGGTCGTTTCCTCAAACAAGCTCGATTCGTTATCGATKTTCTACACCAACTGTCCGCCACACCGCTTCAGATCTACAACGTCAGTAACTCGATTGACTGTACGTTGAAATGCATTGAACATGACCAGTGTTTGTCGTTTAACATGGCAGTCAATACTACGGGAGGATTCAAACTCTGTCAACTTCTTCCTACTGACAAGTACGAATCCTCTATTGAATTCAAACCAAGTTCTGAGTTCAACTATCATCACATTAATGTTGGTTTGGTGAGTATAAAATACGGCCTTGTTTGTATCGAATTTTCTACATCGATATCTTAACTGAAACTGAATGCCTCACTTTGCGACAATAGGCCAAAATTAGATAAACAAAAGAATAAGAAAACTCCTTAAAGGTACAGACAATCAGATATAATTTTATATTTTGTAATCCCAATCACATACTTGGACTTGACTTTATTATTTAAGGTGACGAACCATTCACGTTATGAACTTCAAGAGGGCAAAACCCTCAAATTTTGAACGGATGGAACTCTATACTTTTTATAAGCTTATTAGAAAAATTTCTAAAAATCTACGTTTTACTGATCAAATTCTTTAGAAAAGTTAATTTTTCTAACACACGAATATATCGATTTTTGTAGGAATTTTTGTTTTGACTTGAGAGATTTTTTGAGGGTATTGAAATAACAAAATATGACAAATTAATGCATTTCTTTGTCTTTTTGTCAAGAATAGTCACATAGTATTGTAGAATGATTTACTTGCCGGCATTTTTCGCATTCATAGAGCTAATATCTTGTGAGTTTTAAATTTTTCCTGATCATTTCCGGTGGCGAAATTTTTGCTTCAAAAACTCGCGCRAAGGCATCCATTAAATGCTGATTATCTCAAAATGAAGCTCGGGACACCCCATTTTTTGAATATTTGGAATCAGCATTAAATTGCACTTTTAAAAAATTGAAGTTTTAAAAAAAGTTAATTTTTTCCAAAAGTAGCCAGTCACTTTAGGGACCATCATGGGCAAAAGATCTCATCGTCAGATTTTTTTAAAATTTTGCATGATGAATAATGTACAGTACATCATACTAGAAGTAAAATAAGCAGATGAAAAAGGGGGTCCACTGAATTGGTTTAGCTGACAGAATACGTGGAAGGACGTTAGTGAGCATTGTTCGTGCGCATCCTTTCTGCTCATCGTGATGACGTTATTCCAATGTTTTGATAAGAAAAATATCATGAAAACGTCGTTAATCTCTTATAGCTCTAAAACAAAGTCGGGGATTCCCCTTTTTATTTCATTTTTTGAAAGTATTTTATAATAGCCAACTTTAGTAGGGAAATAAAAAAAACTGACGTTGGGATTAAATTGAAATTACATATTTTGTGCAATGCAATAGAATTTCACGTAAGGCTCCAATAAGTCAATACTCGTAGCCCAATAACATTTTAAATTTTAAATTTTAAACAAATTTTATTTGGTAAATTTTTTTCAGTAAAATATGGTTTATTTTTACAGCTTTCCATGTTTACGTTGTTAGCGCGTTTTTTACCGTAAAAAGGGTCAACGTCCACGCATTCTGACGGCTAAACGAAGTCGTGACCCCCATTTTTTACTTTCTTATTTTACTTCTAGTATGACGTACTTTTAACATGCAAAATCTTAAAAAAATCTGACTATTGGAACTTTTGCCCATGAACGTCCTTAAAGAGAAGAGTACTAAATTCACGGCATTATTTAAAAAACAATGCATGAACTTGGCCTAACGCATTTTTAAAAGTGAGTCAAACAATAGACCTTATTCGTGGTGTGATGCAATGTTTTCCCATTTCAGCGTGACGAACCTCCAGGGGATTCATTTTCTTTTGTTTTTACTCTTCGAAAGATTCATGAGTATCCCAAAGGATACGAAAGGAATAACGACGATATCCCGACGAGTTTCAAAACAATAGCTCTTCATTCCCCCAGAGGTTTGTCACGCTGAATTGGGAAAACATTGTCACACCACGAATAAGGTCTATTAAGTGTATCTCAAGAGTAATCAACATTAAAGTCAGTTTTTTTCAATGGTGAAGGTCAAGGTGCTCCTTGATAACCTCAAAACATTGATTGTCCATGAAAAAAGTTTCCGTATAATAAACAAGGCGGAAAAAACGAAATTAATTTTTTTAACATCGCAAATGTCTGGGACATCGTGAAATGACTGCATCTTTTTAAACTTAGCAGTGAATTTTTTCTTGTAATATTGAATCCTTGATTGCTTCTTATTTTTATAGGAACGAGGAGTACTCAACCCTTGTAGGAATGGAGGAACGCTTATTTTGCTCTATTGGACGGGGAACTTCCAGTGTGCATGTTCGGCCATATATATCGGAAATTATTGTGGTATAGTTTATATTTTACAGTTTTATACTTTGTCTCGATTATTACYAATTTTGTTTTCTAAAGTCTAGTAATGGGACTTTTGCGAAGATATTATTATATGCTGAAGCAAGAAGTTCAGTTCCATCCAAGTAAATTTAATGCCGATATTATATTTTCAGAATGGATTAAACTTAACAGAAATCCAGTTCACTTGGAGGCCAAGGATAACAAATTCGGCCCATTCAATGCCATTCAGTCTGGTCAAATCTTGAAGTTCAAACTCGTCTATATCTCTGGAGGGATGTCATGCTGGATCACTGAGCCCGGCTATGAGATCACAAAGTTTGGCTGTGGTCCTAATCTTGCAGTTCTCATCACCAGCACATCTAATAATATCATCTCCCCAAACCCATCATACGTAACCCGATATATGAACTACAATCTCCCAGGAGTTGCAAGCAATGACACAGAMATAATCCTGCCTGAGATACACCCGCCATTACACGTGAAAGCCGCACAAGAGTTCAGGCTGTGGTATGGAGAAGATCTTACTGACCAACCCGAACATGACAATGTTGGAACATTGGACCTTGATGTCTATGCGTTTTATGCATAAGACGCCAAAATGGAGGACATGGAACTGCTAGGTGTACATGGATCACTTAGTAGTTTGTAGAATCTTTAGAGAGGGATGTAGTGGTACATTGGTCATTTTGTAGTTTGTAGAATCTTCAAGGAGGGATGTAGGGGTACATGGGTCATTTTGTAGTTTGTAGAATCTTTTAGGAGGGATGTAGGGGTACATTGGTCAATTTGTAGTTTGTAGAATCTTCAAGGAGGGATGTAGTGGTACATTGGTCAATTTGTAGTCTGTAGAGTCTTGAAGGAGGGATGTAGTGGTACATTGGTCAATTTGTAGTTTGTAGAATCTTGAAGGAGGGATATAGGGATACATTGGTCATTTTATAGTTCGTAGAATCTTGAAGGAGGGATGTAGGGGTACATTGGTCATTTTGTAGTTTGTAGAATCTTTTAGGAGGGATGTAGGGGTACATTGGTCATTTTGTAGTTTGTAGAATCTTTTAGGAGGGATTTAGGGGTACATGGGTCATTGGGTAGTTTGTAGAATCTTGAAGTGGGGATGTAGTGGTACATAGGTAATTTTGCAGTTTTTAGAATCTTTAAGGAGTGTTGTAGTGGTACATTGGTCATTTTGTAGTTTGTAGAATCTTTAAGGAGGGATGTAGGGGTACATGGGTCATTGTGTAGTTTGTAGAATCTTTTAGGAGGGATGTAGGGGTACATGTGTTATTTTGTAGTTTGTAGAATCTTTAAAGAGGGATGTAGGGGTATATGTGTCATTATGTAGTTTGTAGAATCTTGAAGTAGGGATGTAGGGGCACATGGGTCATTTTGTAGTTTTTAGAATCTTTAAGGAGTGTTGTAGTGGTACATTGGTCATTCTGTAGTTTGTAGAATCTTGAAGGAGAGATATAGGGGTACATGGGTCATTGTGTCGTTTGTAGAATCTTTAAGGAGGGGTGCAGGGGTACATGGGTCATTGTGTAGTTTGCAGAATCTTTAAGGAGGGATGTAGGGGTACAAGGGACATTGTGTAGTTTCTAGAATCTTTTATGAGGGATGTAGGGGTACATGGGTCATTTTGTGGTTTGTAGAATCTTGAAGTGGGGATTTAGGGGTACATGGGTCATTTTGTAGCTCGTAGAATCTTTTAGGAGGGATGTAGGGGTACATGGGTCATTGTGTAGTTTGTAGAATCTTTTAGGAGGGATGTAGGGGCACATGGGTCATTTTTTAGTTTGTAGAATCTTTAAGGAGTGTTGTAGTGGTTTATTGGTCATTTTGTGGTTTGTAGAATCTTTAAGGAGGGATGTCGGGGTACATGGGTCATTGGGTAGTTTGTAGAATCTTTAAGGAGGGATGTAGGGGTAAATGGGTCATTTTGTAGCTTGTAGAATTATTAAGGAGGGATGTAGGGGTAAATGGGTCATTGTGTAGTTTGT